CTCATGTGGGTATGAACATACCTGTGTAGGTATGAACGTACTCATGGGGGTATGAACATACCTGTGTAGGTATGAACGTACTCATGTGGGTATGAACATACCTGTGTAGGTATGAACGTACTCATGTGGGTATGAACATACCTGTGTAGGTATGAACGTACTCATGTGGGTATGAACATATCTGTCTAGGTATGAACGTACTCATGTGGGTATGTACATACCTGTATAGGTATGAACGTACTCATGTGGGTATGAACATATCTGTCTAGGTATGAACGTACTCATGTGGTACTAATCTTGTGCATTGCAAATATGTATTACTGTACCGTATGTAAAGTTTAAAGACAATACGATTCTCCATTCTCCTACCGTACTAAGGGGTCCTTGTTCTAAATTTTATGACCCCTGCTACTCCTAGAAACTTCCACAACGGTGTTTTCATTACTGTTACGAGCACGTTAACATGGCGGGGAGGCCTCGAAGCAGAACCGCGCCCCTTGTGTCCCCCAAACGGAGCGGCCATCTTGTTCGGGAGAAGGATGGTTGTCACTGTTACAACGAACCAACGCAGAGGCGATGGCTTGCCCGCTGGAAGAGCGGCAAAATGGCCTGGCTTCTGGTCGTCCTGGGGGCCTGGTCGATGCGGGTGCTCCGGCTGTCGGCGGTGTATTCGTCCTCCTCGACGGGAGGGGTCGCGACAGACATCCCCTGGACGCGGGTGCAGACGGACCCTTCATTCTTCCTTGCCAGCACCGCGAGCTACGGCGAACGCAACAGCAGCATCGGCATCGGCAACGAAAACGAAAAGGGGAGCGGGAGCGGGAACGACGGTGGCTCCCTCGGGTCCGATGCCAACGAAAGGGGTCCGTTTGAGATCGGTGTGTTCAATTTAACCTCGAGCACCAACACCAGCAGCAACACCAGCACTAGCGACATCATAAGCAACAACACCAACGAAAGCATTCAGTTTGAGATCGGGGTATTTAACTTATCCTCGAACGGCAGCAACAGCAGTAGCAGCAACAACGACAACACCAACAACAGCACCAGCACCAGCACCAACGAAAGCATTCAGTTTGAGATCGGGGTGTTTAACTTATCCTCGAACGGCAGCAACAGCAGTAGCAGCAGCAACAACAACAGCACCAACAACAACACAAACGACGAGAGCCAACCAGAGAGGGATAGAGAAATGGTGCCCCCGGGCATGCCTTCCATCTCTTTGAATTCTATGTCGTTGAATTTTACCAAAGCATCGTCATCAAACGCTTCAGCACAGATAATGCCCTGGTTCATTGCGAACAAGGAAGGACGCATTTCGAGCGACCGAGCCATGGAGCACTACGACGCACTCCGATTCGCCGCCGTAGCCGAGAACATTGATGGCGACAGAATGATGGTCTATCGGGCGTGCTGTGGCCTCGGTCATCGGCTCTCCCGGGAGGCCGCAGCGGCTCGCTACTCAAGGCACAAAGGATTTCGGCTCCTCTGGGTGGAATACACCAAAACCCGGATCAGCCCCGGGAGCTGTTACACCCGCTTCAAACCCGGGAGCCTCGACCTCAGCGAATACATGTTTGGCCCCGGCCCGCTTTTGCTGTTCGATGAGGACGAGGACGACGAGCAAACCTACGCTTCGCTTCCAACGGACTTTGACTCGAGGAGCATGGAGATACGGAGGTACGCCGCCGGAGACCACGGCGAAAAATACGAAAGGAGAAACCACACGCTGATCCCCAACAACGTCCCCGACCACGATTCTAAATGCTTCCAAAAATTACCCCCAAGTGACCAGCGGGCCGTCGGTAGAGCCGACGAGCGATTCTTCCGGCAGCTGCGGTCCCTCTTTCGGTTCAATCATCTCGCCCGGGACTTTGCCGAGGCCCATCGGTTCTCGGAGCGGATCGTCCTGGGAATCCATATCCGGGCCGGGAACGGGGAACAAGACGATTTTGTCAAGAAGGAACGGGGCATCGAGGACCACCAAGGGTTTGCGAACAACACGGCCAAGACCCTGGACGAGCTGGTCACCAAGATCCGATCGGCACAGATCCGCCAGGGCGCCGGTGTGCACCTGCACGCACTCCCACCCCTGCTCTTCGTCGCGACGGACGACCTTGCGATGGTGACCAAGCTCGAGAACGCCACCCGGCCCTACAACATCTCCGTGGTGAGCTTCCCCCAATTCCGGCCGGATCCCGGGACCGGCGTTTCCTACAACAAGCAATGGAAGGACAGCGAGCGGTGCAAGCGCAGCTGGGCCGACCAGATGGTCGACATGGTGCTACTGGGGGCGTCCGATGTTCTCGTCGCGGCCCGGTACTCGTCCTTCTCGATGTCGCTTCCGCTGTTTGCCCTGTTTTCGGACTCGCTGCGGTACGCCCGGAGGCGCACCGCCCGGGAAAACCTCTCCGCCAACGATGGCTCCGGCACGCGGTACGCGCACCGAATGTTTTGCCAGAGCGGCCGCCTCGGGGACGGTCTGAAATGCTTCGACGACTACTCGGACTGGGTTCGTGGAAGGAATCCCCTGGCAACGCCGACCGGGAAGGTGGACGTGGTCCTGCCGTTCGACCCTTTCGACAAGATGATCTACGGGAGATGCAATTCGACCAAGTAAGCACAATCGAACCTCTTACACATTGCAGTGTCAAAACAAAAATACAGCACTACCTCCGGTCGAAATAAATGACAGAAAATCACCTTTTTGTCTGTTCCGGTAGTTTGTTCACGATGCCATGACCTTTCTGTGGCTCCTCCGTAGGGATAAAGCAATAACTCTCGTCTTATTCTCTTATATTTGCTATCAAGATTACTGCACAAATCTCATCGTACTACTACAAGTACCACCACCGCCGCCACCACTACGCTTGGAGTTCATGGTTAATAGTAGGAATATACACTTTTAAACTAGTTCTACTTCTTGGTCAAGAAATGTATCCTCTTGTCAACCAGTCTAGTACTAATCTAATTTCTTGTTTCACAAAGCACTTTTTCTAATCCGCATTCACCATGTTGTACTACTACTACTACAAGGAGAGATCAAAGGTGTCATTGTTGTCGTTGATTCAATACAGAGGAGGAAACTCAACATATTCTTTTTTGTTTCCTGGTTCTCCTAGTAGCACCAGCTTCAACAACGATAACCACCACCACTTGCTGCTGTGTCTCTTCTTGAAGAACTTTCTTCCTCCAATTTATTCATAATGTGGTGAAGTGACTGATTGATTTTCGTGCAAGTCCATGGCATACTTTTTTGCATTGATTCCCATACCGTACGGTTACGGCAATAAAGGTAGTAGTAGAAGTACAAGTAGATGATAAGCCATGAGTAGATAGTACTTGAATACTACGTAGTAGTAGTAATGATAGGCCGTATGGCCCGGAAGCTAGATTCCGGCACTAAGCATTTGGCTTCATGAGAATGACCGAATGACATATCGAACTACCACGCCAACGGTACGTACGTACTATCCGGATCTTGGCCAATCCATGATTTTTTTAGAATAGCCCCCATCGCATCATTGAGAAGTATTTTTATGACTTGGTCATGCATTGGACGAAGCTAACGTATCCCAACGTTCTTATAAACAATTATTACCAGCGAACTACAGTATTAAGTAAATACCCGTAAGTTATTAGGAAGTTCCCTCCAAGTTGTTGCTGCTACATACGCAATTCAACGCCTATCGGAACGCCGAACGTACAACATGACCTTAGTAACGGACGTTGCGTTGACGAGTTTTTCGAAATTTTGCAGATCTGGATACAATGAGCTTTAATCAAAATGTACCGCACATCCGTTCGAGTTTTTGATGACAAAAATACGAGTACAAATAGAGAAAGGTACGAGTATGTACGATACATATTTGTACTCGTACCCAGCAGTAGCATTTCGTACTCATCTATTTCTCTAGTTCCTCGCATTCAAACCACGTGTTGCTTGTTTCCCACCGAGCAAATGAAACCTGTTGGCGAAACCGATAATGCAAACAGATACCTACAGCGAAAGTGATTTGAATAGTATCGACACGACGTACTACCAACAGGGTTAGAGAAAGAAAGAAATACACAGTGGAAACGAATCGTACTCCGAGAACCCATCAACCGAACAAGTGCCCGTCCTTGATCCCGATTATCATACGGCATGGTAATTGTGGTCACTTTCTGAGTGAATCACATCAAACCGAACATCATCCTCTAGGTCTTGCCATCATCGATTGTCGATTTTTTAAATTTCCCTCTTGTATTCTTTGGATAAACGAAACAACTTGGACAGAAAACGAAACGAAACGAAACGTCCGAAGCGAGTCGAACGAAACAAAAGGAAAGGCATCAAATCGCATGCACATTCTGTTCCAGAATGTCAACCCTTGCCTCGAATCGTCAACATCATAGCTATAGCACCAGCAACCGCACCATCATCGATTCTGTCCACTGGTCGAAGAGCAAACAACACAAGACTGGTTGCTCGTTGTCAAAGAGCAGCAAGCAACAACAACAACAACAGCAACAACAACAACACAACAACTACCACGACACCCACTACTCCAACGAGAGCAGCAGCAGCCACGAACCAACAGAAGATCCCACCGCTCCGCTCTCGACGACGGATTCGCCGGAATCCTCCGCAACCGGCCCGGCAGACGAATCATCGTTTGTGAGCATGTCTTCCTCCCTTTCGGCGCTGACCACTCAAACCTTTGTTTCGGGCTTCACCGGGTTCACAACGACGATCCGAGCCAAACCGTCACAAGCCACCGCAAACACGGGCAGAATTTCCGGCATCGGCAACGACAACGACAACCGCTACTCCAACAATGCGTTGCAACAGCAACAGCAACCACCGACCGCACCGCCACAAAATTCCTTTCTAGGCGCGACCTTTGGACCTGCGTCGTCGTCCGGTGCTCCACCCGCTTCGTGCACGGCTGGGGAGCGGCAGCAAAGGAGCGAGCGCATCCTCCGGTTTGCCAGCAAGCGATTGAAGAAATCACACGTCGAGGACTATTACGAGTACAAGTGCCGGAAGAGAAACCCTCACAGATCCCACGGGAGCAGCAAACACAACAATTACAACCATAACCACAACCACAACGACGGAATCCTTGACGTTTGTCACTCGGATATTCAGCTCGACTCGATCCTGGGAAACGGATCGTACAACGTTGTCTATTCGGTGAAGCGCATTCGAACCACGAGTGGGACCAGCCGATCTCACTCCCATCTACAACCGCGATCCATCGATCCGAACACCGTGGTCGTCAAGACGCTGCGTTCGAAACTCCTGAACGACGTTCCGATGCTGGCCGCGTGCGCCGCCGATCTGCGCAAGGAGGGCCTCGTGCTCGCCGCCCTCCAGCAGCAGCCGAACGAAGAGGAAGGCAACGAGGGAGCAAGGCACGTCATCAGGATCCTGGCCTGGGCGCCGACGGGCCTCGAGGCCTATTCCAACGGGTGCCACGACGCCTTCTTTATCGTTCTGGAGAAACTCGAGGGAACCCTGACCGACACCCTCAAAGAATGGAAGGCACTTGAGGAATTCCAGCAGCGACGGCGACGAGCCAGGCAGCGACACGATCGAAAGCAACAACAAGAGCAGCAACAAATCGAGTCTCTGACCGAAGACATCGAGTGTTGCTACAACCCTGGGAGACAGAGCATCAGCATCCACAACGAACACAACGTTGGCTACGAATACGAATACCCACACGGCAAGGGTCACAGCAAACACAAACGCCGATCCCGGCTATTGGGCTCGGTCAAAAATTCCTTTGTCCAAAAAAAGAGATTCATCTCGAAGGCCCTGTCGCAACTCCAGCAAAAGCAGTTGCTGAAACAGTACCATCGATTCGAGGAAGGAAAAGAACAAGGATTCGAGCAACGGGAAGACCGCGAGCGCGGCTTTGATTGCCACTACGAGCACATCTTTCCTTCTGGCTCGAACCGCGCTCACGTTCATCGCCCAGATGTGGATGCGGACGAGGCCTATTTCTGGAACGCACGCCTGGGCCTCCTGATCGATCTCTGCGGTGCCGTGTCCTTTTTGCACTCCCAGAAGATCATCCACCGGGACCTCAAGCCGGACAACGTGGGATTTGACCGCAATGGAACCCTCAAGATCTTTGATTTCGACGTGGCCCGGATCCTGCCCCCGCAGGCCGAGGACCCCGACCGCCTCTTTAAGCTCACCAAGAAGGTGGGATCCCCCCGATACATGAGCCCCGAGGTTGCCCGAGGGCAGCCCTACAACGAAAAGACCGACGTGTATGGCCTCGGCCTCCTGGCCTACGAGGTTCTGAGCCTKAAGCGACCTTTCGAATCGGTTCCGAGCGGCCGCAGCAAGAACCAGAAGTCCCGGAACCCAAACAACCATCACAACAACAGCACCGGTGTCTACGAGGATTGCGTCCCGGTCGTGGTCCGAGAGGAGCAACACCGCGACTCGCAGCGTATCCCGTCCAAGCGGTCGGAGCGCCGGAAGGGCCGCGTCGAGCGACTGTTTTACTGGGTTCGCAACAAGGACGACCGTGCGAACACCGATGGAATCATACAGCATCAAAAAGCCAACGGCAACATACCAAAGGAACCCATCAACACCGACGACCACAACAACTCTCAGCATCCACGCCGCCTTCCAAAATATGCTAATCTTCGGCCGCTTTTGCCAGTTGCAACACCACAAGAACTGCTCCACGAAGAGGAGGAGGAGGAGCAGCAGGTTAATAGCAGACTCATGTTCCAGAGCAGGGTCGATAGCATGCTGCCATCCACTAGCAAAAACCCATCTCTATGGACGCGCAAGTTCCACAAACACGGCCAAGTGTTCGGCAAAATTTTCGGTAGCAGCCACCACGGTAGTGGTTCTAGCAGTCTAAACGCTGGCAACGGCACCAAGAGCAGCAGCAAGCAACAACAACAGCAGCAGCGGCAACAGCAGCACAACATCAACGTCGTCGACTTTGAGACAAGGTCGTTCTTTTGGACGCAATCCCTGCGAACGATCATCGATCGGTCCTGGAGTTACGACATACCGACACGTCCATCGGCCAGTGGTCTCAAGCTTTCGCTCCAGGCCGAGGTGGATCGCATCAACAACGCTATAAACGTCCTAGGCAACACGAACCACAAATCACTCCAAAGCGCAAAGAGCTGCAACAGCGGGGACGATTACTCATCTTCCAGCATTTTCCTCGACGGAGTATCAATCACATAACCTTAGTAAGTTCATGCACTAGCATAATAACACAGTTTAAACATAGATCTGGTAGTTTTTGCTTCTACAATAACTCGGTGCAATATTTGACAGGAGGAAAACTTGGTCGCACTTCCATCAAACCTCCTCGGAGGGAAGTGCCGCCCCTCGGAGCAGCTAGAAGCATATACTTTCCAACAAAAGTTATGGTTCTGGCCATAAAGTGCCTCTTCTAGTTCACGAGGTTAAATATAATATTAAGATTTTTTTTTGACAGGAGGAAAATAAAGTTGAAGCCCCCGAAACTATAATGCACCAACGTGAATTATTTCTTTTGAGTTTGCGTAGCGTGCTCCAGTTTGACAAACTAAAGTGCCAAAAAGCCTGCAAGAGGTGCATATACGGCAATCTGGCGAACGCGAATTCTGCTGTAAGCATTAGGGGAAGGGTTATCGCGCCGCCGAGTAGAAGATTCCACCCGAAATCTTCGTCGCAAGAGTTGCAATCGTTTTTGATTTGATTAGATAATATGAATGATGAGGGCATTCGACGACGCCATGCCCTCAAAGAACCCGAGGTTGCTCGAGTGAACCCCGCAGTCAAATGGCCGTTTCTAGCGTGCCACATACCAGGGAAGACGGTTTGCCGATGCAAGAGGATCCGAACGCAGCGACAAAAATGTTGGGGTGCGCGTTCTCCTAAACCACACACAATTCGAATGGAAAGTAGGGCAGTCGCAATGGAAGGCAAAATTCGCTCAGTGGTGTCTGCAATCTCAACCGCGGAATTCATTTGCCCTTTTCCGATCCTAAACGCTGCAATCGATAGGCACGCAAAGCGGTTTGGCACATCACAGGCAACGCATGGTTCGATTTATTCCTTCAGTCAAAATGAAACTTAACTAAATTCTGGGCCGTGCAATTGCAAAAGTCTTCCCTGCCGCTGTCACTGTCACTGCCGCAATCGTAAAAGTTGATGCCATTTGCGTTCATGTTTCCATCGATGAACTTGAATCGCTTTCGGCTACTCGACACATCGAAGTCGAGAGAGCGGGTGATCGCCCCCGAGGTCTTGTTGTGTTCTAGCAGCACATCCGCCGTCCTCCGGTTGACAGACTGAGAATCCTTTTCCCGAAAGGACCGGATGGAGTACTCGACCTTGCTTTGGATGGTCTTCTTGTCGGTGCTATGAACAAACCGCGAAAGTTTTTCGTTCCAAATGACAATCCGAAAGCCCCCCAGCGTGAGTTCTTTCTGGAGTTCATCAACCAGCGCCGACTGGGTCTTGTACGTAAAATCCCCTTCCTCATACTTTTTCTGAATGATGCTCCGGAATTTGGAGTTCCCCGCGTTGTGTACCGCGCCTCCCCCCCGCTTAAAGACAACGTCACTCGAATGCGGGCTCTCCACTACAATTTTACTCTCGGCGTTGCCACTCTCGATGATTTTTCGGGTCTTGAACCATTGGATTATGTAGGTGGTCTTGATTTGTCCACCGTTGGTGATCGGCAGGTTTTGAGATGGGATTCCGAAAGAATTAAGGGTATACAGTAGCTCCATGGGCGATCCTGCCCTCCGAAAAAGGAAAATTCAGCAGCAGGCGAGTGACGAAGAACAAAAAATTCAATGAGTCGCATAGTGTGTTGTGTCGTGCGAATCGGATCGATTTAGAGTGTCCAGTGTAAGTCCCCAGTCGTGCTCCGTAGCTGGAGTTCATCTCCAGCAAGGAAGCGCACGACAAACAAAATCATAACACTGCCTCGCTCAATACTTAACACGGGACACTCACCAAGATGCAGCCGTATCCTTGGCAACACAGCCGACTTTGTTACCAAAAACCGACCAAACCGAAACTTGAGGGTTTTTGGTGCGCAGATGTGAAAGGCGGAGGCACGAACCGGTGCTTGGTGCTTCAGACGTTTGACTGCGCTACCGGTCATCCCCCCACCCATTTTGAACTCTGGATCGAACCACATGATGACAACAATTCCTTTGCGCTGCGTTTCCAGGTCCTCGACGTGACCGTTGGTCGTGACGATGGAAGTGAGGTACAAGCTAATTTTCACCTACACAGGTCGACAGCATTGCGATTCGATACAGGTATCAGGATCATTTGAAATCGCAGCACCCGTCGTCCACAAACGATGGGCAAGAAAGAGAAAAAGATGCGAAAACACTGGTGAGCTTCCTCTTTTCACTTTCTCCGATGTGTTAACGAGTCCTTTAGTCATGTCATTGTAACCCAACCCAACCCAACCCAACCCAACTTACACGGACGTCCGGTGTAAGCCCCGAGATATGGTCTGTTGGAAAGGAAATCAAAATTCGCCTGCCAGCCCGGTCCCGATATGGAAGAAGCTGCAGGCCCCCCTTCTTCATGGTCCGCTGCTCGCTCTTGGTAAAATCATCGAGGCACACCGGGCGCTGTAGGCACTGCTCCCCGAAACACTCTGCAATGTTGGTCAGGTGCTTGATTATCCTCTCTGCGGCCTCTTTCGGACGAAAAAGACACGTCCTGAGGAACCGCAGCTTGAAGCGGTCTTTCTGGACGTACGAGTCGGGAAGAGACAGCGCCTTGGTGTAGTATTTCTTTTTGGATTCTGGCATCACTTGAAGTTCTTCTTCCAGCATCGAAAGGGATCTTATCAGAAGCTCTGGGGTTTCTTCTACGGCCATGCTGGAAACCCCGTGGATCTCTTCCGTGATTTCGTTGCGGTCCCGCAGCGTAAGGGCGAGTAGTTCCTTCGACAGAATCTCCCCCGCCTCCTTATTCGAAACGTACGCGTTCGACGTCATACCAGCCGCAATCGGTGAGATTGGAACGTCAGGGGGGCTCGGGATTCCTCTTTAGCGTACTCCGTGCTCTCAGCGAGCGATGAACAGCCGAGTTCTGTTTATCTGTCGTCCTCTTAAATACTAGTAACGCGTCTCGTAGCACACGAATACTCGTCTCCCTGCCGTACGGTAGCGTACGGGAGTACCGTAGGCCTGAGGCAAAGAAAGACCTTGAAAGTACGGTCAATAAAGTCTTACAATTTAGTATTATTTTTTAGTGGATACTGATTGATGATTCATAGGAATGCTCTAGAACACTAGAACACACATCTCGAATAATAATACAACAGATGCATCATTCTAACGGAGCTGAGCGAACTGATTACTGTTAAATAAGCCAAATATGGAGCAGCTTAATTCACTTGTGACTTACTACGTGGTATTGCCTTACAAACAATTCCTAAGGCACAAATTAAAGTCTATTATCTATTAAGTAGTTGCAAGTCAAAAAACATGAAATAAATAATTTGATTGTGCTGAGGTCGCCCTTAATCCAACTTGCCTCCATGCCGGTATACAAGTACTTACCTTACCGGTACGTAAGAGAAGAATTTTGTTATTACTTATTGAAAATTAGTACAAGTACCGGTAGTAAAATGTAAAGTCGTACCTGTTCCGTACTGTACAGTACTCCATTCAAATCGTCCACGACTGCAAAATTAAGGCAAAAAATAGCTGTGTTTATTATTTTGCAGTACGAGAGGGAATCACAGGTTGCTTCGACAAAGGAAAATTGCAGTGTTAGCCACCTTCTTGTGACGTTAACACACTTATTCGAGTTGTTCTCATTGCTGCATCAAAGGCGTGTCGATCCGGTCGAGATCCAACAACCATCACCGTCTTCAGAACAAACTCAACAAGATGCTCCCCGAAACCTTGGCATCGAGACGTGTCGGACCGTAATGGAGTTTCGAGAGAAACCACTGGTTCTTCTTCGGGCGAAAAGTCCGCGGTCAAACATTCGCAATCGGCGTGCTCAGAGGACTCCGAAACAGCCGTTGACGTACGCGCAAAAATCCTCTCTGCTGCTGTCGTCGCTGTCGGTGATCTCTTGGAAACAACAAACGTCATTGCCGTCACCGTTAACACTGCCATTGATGAACTTGAACCGCTTTCGTCTCCCGCCCGCCACGTCGAAATCAAGGGTGCGCGTGGTCGCACCCGAGGTGGTTTTCTCTAGCAACGTGTCCGCCACCCTCCGATTGATGGACTGGAAATCCTTCTCCCGGAAGGCCCGGATCGAGTATTCGATCTTGCTGTAGATGGTCTTCTCGTCTGTAGCGCGAATAAATCGAGATTGATTCTCCTTCCATATAATGATCCGAAAGCCCCCTAACGTAAATTCCTTCTGTAGCTCGTCGGCTAGCTTTGTCTGGGTCATCTCCATAAAGCCACCCCGCTCCCATTTCTTTTGGATGATGCTACGGAATCGGGTGTTTCCGGCATTGTGGACCGCGTTTTTGCCACCTCTCTTGAAGACTATGTCCGTAGAGTTCGGGCACTCCACGATATACTCGCAGTCGCGTTCGTTGCGCTCGAGGACTCTCCGCGTCTTGAACCACTGGTTAATGGACGTCGTCTTGATCTTGCCACCTGTGGTGATTGGCAATATTTCCGCTGGAATCCCAAAGGAATTCAGCGTGTAGAAAAGTTCCATGGGCGAGCCTTGTCACGAAAAGAAAAGAGCCAAGCGAACAAGCATCAGCGATTGAGCACCACATAGTACACGAGCCCTATGGTGTTGCGTAGTCTTCTCGTGGCGTTCGAATCGACTTTAAAGCGAAGGCATTACAAACAAGAAACAGTACTCGAGCTAACTTCAATGTCAATCGATACTTCTTTTCTTCTTCTATTCAAAGAATCTAGCGTGCGAGCCCCCACCAAACAACGAATCAAACCAGCAGCTCATCAGAACAGAATCGAGTTCCAAAAACCGCGAAGGACTTACCGAGATGGATTCGAATCCTTGCACGCACCGGCGCTGGTTCGAAGAAAAAGCGACCAAACCGAGACTGTACGGTCTTGGGGGTGCAGATGTGAAAGGCGGCAACGCGGATTGAAGTCGTCTGCCGCAGCCGGGACGCCGGCCGCTCCTTCATCCCTCTGCCGAAGCCAAACTTCGGATCAAATCACAAGATCACGACGATTCCTTTGCGCTGCGTTTCGAGATCTTCTTCGAGGCCGTTGGTCATCGCGATGAACGAGTAGTAAAGGCTTATCTTCACCTACCGGAACCGATGCACAAAAGTAAAGTAAAGTGCAATAGTATTGCAAAATTTTCGGTGTAAGAAAGTTTTCACATAGCATCATAATGGGTACATGTGCATACGCATGCACGTCCCAAATCGAAACGATACAGCGGCAATGGTGGGATGCCGATACGCATGCCTTTCTATGCTCTTTTCGTTGGCTCGATTCCTTCGTATCTGCATATTTACATGTCCTTCTATGATTCGTTCGGTTCGGTCCTCGGTTCGTTTGACACACGAGGTGGCAATACGAACACAATGCAACACACTCGAGGAACGTTCAGCACTCGAATCGATCCCGGTAGCAAGCAGACAAGCGATAAGCAGAATGCATCAAATTACTCACTCGGATGTACGGTGTGTCCCCCGGAATATCGTCCGTCGGAAAGCAGATCGCGATCCGACGCCCAGCACTGTCTCGATACGGAAGCATCTGGAGGGGCCCCTTCTTGATGATCATCTGCTCTGTTTTTGTGAAGTCATCGAGGCACACCGGCCGCCGCAAGACCTGCCCCCCGAAGGCCTCCCCGAGAATATCCAGGAATTTGGTCAATCGATAGGCAGCCTCTTTCGCATCAAAGAAAACCGCCCTTAGGAAACGGAGCTTGAAACAGTCCGTGTGGACGTACGAGTCGGTGTAGGACAGCGCCTTGGTGTAGTTCACCTTCTTGTGAGAGGGTATCTTTGCCAGTTCATTCATCATCTTCGAAAGGGACGTTTCCAGAAGTTCTGGGGTTTCTGGGGTGTTCATGCTGGCAACGCCATGGATCTCTTCCGTGACTTCGTTTCGGTCCTGCAACGAGAGATTGAGAAGTTCCTTCGACAGTATCTCTCCCGCCTCCTCGCTCGACATGAACGCCGCTGATCCAGCCGGTGGCACGGCCGGCACGGCTTGCTCCTTGATCTTTGGGTCGACCATGAATTGCTTGTGGATCCGGTGTGTTGGTTCGTGTTGATGATACTGCCACCGGTAGGAGTCTCAGTTCCGTCAATAACTGGCTACGTACTCGTGATTGTGGATTGTGTACAGTCTCACGATGACTTGATTCTTCTTTTCTTCTATTTTCTAATTGAAAATCTTTACCGCAATAAGTCGACGTATCATTTTTTAATCTACCGGTACCGTACTTTGGTCGTAATTTCTTCCTTTTTATTGTATTCGACTTCCATGATTTTGTAAATGTGTATACTTCTACTTTTTATTTGTTGAAGTGCGTATTGTCTGGAACAGAAAAGAACTTAAGTACGAGTTGAGGTAGGTACTAGTAGACAGCAGGATCCTAGTGTTCTTATTGAACAGGATCTTTACCGTAGGCGTTCGTTCCGACGACCAATAATCGAGGAATTCTCGGTTGAACCTTGCAGTATGTTACCTAGGGCTACCGTACAAAACTATTGCTTTGATTCTACAACCGGTACCAGTTTCTTTCTTTCTACACGTCACTACTAATAATTTACATACCTGTTTTCTCATGATTAGTACGTAGTCACACTAACACCAAAAAGAAGTTTTCAAAAATTGGGCATTAATACTAATGATTGTTGACGTACTAGGAGAACGATAAGCATGGGTTGGAAGAAGAACGGCGAGAATGAGTTCGGGTTTCAGAACTGGTACCATACTACTAGTACTAATGTAGTGTCCACGCCACAAAGCAAAGCGGGGTAGTGTCAGATCGAAAAAGATATCGCCCGAACCAACCGTGTCAGGCGCGGGACCTACCGATTTCTATTGTTGTCTAGTCGGCGAACCCAACGCATAACGCATGTTCCAGAGAACGATGCAACAAGTTGCGTTGGCATCGCAATGTCGTTAGCACGGCACGGGCAATACTGAAATATTATTGCCTCTCTCTCATACTTTTATTGGTGAGATTTAATGATATTGTACTACGCACGTATTGTCTAGATGAATCCCTCGACCGCGCGCAGGGAATGAATTCGGCGAGAGCCGGGTGCGCAGCACTTCCGTTCCACTGTCTCACGAAGGGCGCGCCCCCTCGTTTCGCAGAAGGCTTTCTCAATCTTTCCCATACTGGTGGCCCGTCGGTCTCACGTAAGCGAACCGAGATCCCCTTTTCGTTCGAAGGCCAACCGATGGCATGGAGAAAAGTACATACCGGTACGGGTGGGAACAAAGAGATAGTTGTTCGGAACGGAACAAAACGCGAGGCGGATCCTTGCAGAGCTCATCCAGCGCGTGTCGGATCGAATCGAATCGATCTCAAAAGGTTCCATCAGCGTCAGCATCAGTATCGAGCCTGAACAAAACGTTGATTGAGACTGATTCCTTCCACTCTACGACCTTGCACAATCCMTGCGACCATTGATGCCAGTGCGAAGGCGTTTCGAGTCTTCCATTCTAGTATTGAACAAATCATTAAGAACGAAACGGAACGAAAGCGAACAGAAGAAAGTTCGACTCCCCACAAGACCGGCACGAAAGAGACAGAGCAACCCGTTGGAGCAAAAATCCGGGACGGCAACACGAATCTAACAAACACACKGACACACGGACACACGCGGACACCGGAGACAAAATTCCATGCCGGGTCAAGAGCACAACGCCACCAACACCATTTTTGTCCACAGCGATCCATCGGCATCCCCATCTCCAACAAGACCACTCCCCGACTATCCGTTCGACGAGGACAGCACCACACCGACCCGACCGGAAGAGAGAGAGACCAGGGCACAAGAGCTTGCACTGATCGTCTTTGGGCTCTTTTGCTGCGAGGGATTCCGTTCTTGCTAGCTATCCGGCTTGTTTGATTCGATTCGATTGGATACGACTCAGGTGGATTGCTCTTTGTAGTTATCGTAGTATTCTGGTTGCTTTCTTCGATTCTATCTATCTTCCCCATCCCGATTGTTTGAGATGGTGGCCGGCACCGATGCCTCGTGTGAGGCGACCGACGCACCGGAGCAAACGAAACAGAACCAGCAGCTTCAACGCAAAAAGGTGAAGCGGCAGGGCAGTGGCAGCATGTCCAACACAGAGCGGCCGTCGTCGCCGATCAAATCCATCAAGAAGTCGATCCGAAACCGGCTCCAGAGAATTAAGGACGGAAAGGAATCGAGGCAGAGGCATTCGCAGCGGAACGGCCTCCGAAGCCGTCCTAGCAAGGAGGAAAAGCAGGAAAAGACGCAGGAGAAAAAACAGCTACAGCGTCAGCAGCAGAAGCCGCAGCAGAAGCAGCATCCGTTCAATGCTACTCTGTCAAAGCAGAAGAAATCCCCACAAAACGCGGTCGGCAGCAGCGGCAAGAAGCAAAAGGTCCCGGCTGCTTCTTCTGCAAAGCAAGTCAGCAGCAAGAGCAACAACATCAGCGAAAGCAACGCGGCCACTGCAAACAGAAACACCAAGCCATTGGTCAAGAACTATATCTCCCCCCCTTCGCAGACATTACAGGCGTCGACACGTACCGAAGAGCGGCGTGAAGAAAAGTCTCCTGTTCGGAATCGTAGGGAGAAGAGGAACAAGAAAACGAAGAAGCATCCCTCCCAAGACGCCACAACCAAGCAGAGGAACAGCTTTCGATCTTTCTCCGAGTCCTCCGATGATTACGATTACTCCGACCATACCGGACTTGGTGCCAACCGCACCTACGATTCCGTCGGAGACGAAGAAGACGACTACTTTGATCGGCGGTATTCCCGGTCGTACGATACCCGCGGATGGAGCTACAGCACACGCACCGGCTCCAGATCCTCCTCCTCGTCATCCTCGGACGGATCGTATGATTCGTCCTCCTTCGACGACGACGAAAGCACCATCTCGGCCACCAAGCGCACAATGCGGATGGCGGTGCACCGGAATCCCAGCGACGACGCGAGCAGCGGCCGAGGCCGGAGCCGAAACCCGAGGCGGAGGCCTCCCCCGTCTTCCCCGAGGGCACGGGAGGACCACATTTCGAGCCCCCGCCGGAATCCCCGCATGCAAACCAACCGGTTCGTTGACGACGACTATTACTACGAGGGCACCAACACCAACACAGACGACGAGAGCCAGAGCTGCTACAGCGGGCTCAGCAGCGGCAACGAGTACAGCCGGAGCTGCAGCAGCGGCGTGACCTCCGGCGGGACTTTCGAAACCAACGACGACGACGATTACTCCTCATCCTCCTCCAACGACGCCGACGAGAGGGACTTTCGCAATCCCGGAGGCGGACGCCGTGGCTCCAACCCCCACCGCAAGCACCCCGTCTCGGACGACGAGGACCAGAGCGAGTGCTGGACGGAAGCACCGGTTCGCACCTACGACAGCGAGGAAGAATCCGACCGCAGCAGCGGTTCCTACTCCAAAAAGAACCACGGCCAATGCGTCCTCGATCCCGTCACGACGTACGATTGCGAGGAAGGATACGGAAACGGGAGCGGTCTGGGACTTGACCTGACCCGCACCCAAACGGACGACCAGACTTATACCTCCCGGGACATCGATCCGGAAGAGTTTGCGGCCTTTGTGCAAGAACAGGAAGCCGCGGAGCAGCGAGCCGAAAGGAAGAAGAAAGACAAGAGCGAGGGAAAGGACGCCGCTGTCGGTTCTGGCGTGTTTTCATGGATCTTTGGGGGAACAGCAGAAACCACCGAGCCAGAGGAACGAACGGCGCCGGCATCTCCGGCACGCCGGGGCCGTTCCCCGGCCCCGGTGAGGTCGCCGCGAGCCCACCAAGGGGACACAGACCGTCGCGCCTTCTTCGACGACGAGATCCGGGAACGCTCCACACGCGACTCGGCAGGCCGGGAGGGGTGCGGCTTTCAGATCGATCACGTTCTCAACGGTGGAGACAGCATTGCGGACTCATACGGTGGCCTCCGAGAGGGAGAGTTCCTGCTTTCCAATCGCGATTCTGCCGCCACCGAGCCCGGCCACTACGGAGGAACCAGCGAGAGGATGCACTCGATGGACAAGGGAAGATCCGGATCCTTCGGCGCAAGCGGAACCAACAACGCAAGGGCGTCTCTCCCCCCGAGATCCACTGCCGCAGAAACACCATCTCCTGCTGAAGAGGAAGAGGACGAGGGCTCTTCTTTCTTGTACTGCTGCTTGTCGCCAAACCACTCCTTTGACAAACTCAAAGACGGGACCGGCGAATCCGGGCGCCTTCCCCCGTCCTCCGGAGCCCTCCGGGACGAGTTCGAACAAACCGCCGTGATCGAAGAACCGTCCTTCGAGAAGCAGCTCGGCTACCGCGAGGCGGAGCAAGCCTTTGCCCCCGAATACGACGAGGCAACCCTTGCATCGACCATCTTCACCGAAGCAAACCAGGGGAGCGAACCGAGAAACCCGCGATCGCCATCGGGCTCGTGGCACCCTCGCTCTACGTCTGGGTTCGATCCGGAAGGCGCTTCGCCGTGTCCGTCCACCCATCGATCGTGGGATGGGAACGATGCGGGTGAAATGGGCGATGCACGATACCCCCGAAACGAAGCGGAGAGTTGGACGGGCCCTGTCGGCAACACGGAAGAGTACGGCCGAGGCCAGGATTGCGATGCGGAACAAATCGAGATGGAACTCGGATCCTACCATCCCGATCCCGACCACATTTCTCTTTCCTCTAACGACACCGATTCATTGACTTACAATGGAGAAGAGGAGGCGGCAATCACGGAACAAGTCAAGACCACCGTAAAGGCAGAATGTCTCGAGGACTACGATGTTTCCAATGTTTTGCATGGAAAACGATCGTTCAAGTCGAAGACAACCGAGGACGGCAGCTCAATCCTCCCCTTGCACTCTCCGAGCGAGAGAAGAGAACGCAGGAAGAACGCCATGAAGGCGCACCGCGACTTTCTCTACAACATGTCGACCAGTGCAAGCGCGTGCAACACGGAAGACCATGACAGAAACGACGCTGACGACGCCGAAGGCGCCGTGGAACCAGGGGAAGAGAACGGCTCCGACCAACACGAAGGCGAAGTTGCTGTCGAGACACCCGGAATCGCGGGAAGCAGCAGCAGCAGCGGAAGCAAACCAAACTCGATCGTACACGACAATGCCGGGCGTTCGTCCGATGCCGACAAGCCCGATGACATCATAGGACTGGTTCGAAATGCGTTCACGGTGATGATTTCTTCGAAGACCGAGGACGAGGCCGATCCTGAAGCTTCTGTCCTCAACGAAAGCAAGCCGGATCTTCAAGTCGATCAAGAGACAGCAGGCCTTCCGCTTGCCCAGGAGGAAGCAAGTACAAGCGGACCACAATCGTCGGTAGAAGAGGCTCTGAATGCCGCCTATCGGTTCTTTGCACCCTCTCAGGCCGACGAGCCCCTGATCAACGAACCCGTGCATGGAGAAAAACAGATCTTGCAGTGCACAAACTTTGAGCCGAATCCCGTGTCCCGTCCGGAAGCGACCGTGGAAGACCCGGTGCAAGAATTCCCTCCGGAAGAAACCATCGAAGAAAAAAACTCGATCCATTCGGTATCCTCGACCCCTTCGGACGAAGCCGTCACGAACAAGCTCGAGCTTCCGAAGAAGCCGAAGGCGATCAAGGATGTTGGTTACAACGTCGAGGGGATTCCGCTCGAGCTGCGACCGCAGAAGATCTGGAGAGTTCCTCCCTCTACTATGATTGCGGAGGAAGAAAACTACATGTCACCGACGTGCGCCAAAGAGTCGTACACGGCTCAGATTGCAGAAGCCCCTGCTTCTCCACCGGAATCGATCCGGGATGCCGGTCGTGAGCAAGCCGAAGACGCTTCTATCGCGGAGCAGCAACATGAACCATCTCCTCCATCGGACCCTGTTCCATCACAGATGGAATCGGATATCGATACCAACGACAAGAAATTGGGACGTCATGCCCAGAGATTTCGCAGAGGGAGAGATTTGAGACGATTCAACCGTCGACTCCAACAAGGCGATGGAGAAAAGAGACCCGTCCCAACGAAAGAGCCAAGCCTTCCCGCCGACCCTCCCGAGAAACAGTATTCAGATACAAGCAACCCCCGCGTTCAGCGACCACACAGAGATGCAGTACCGTCACCAATCGTCGCTGGTGGAGGAGAAACCACCCGGGACACAGCGGCGGGCGCTCTTGCCGCTCCTTCGATGCCCGATCCCGTGTCGCCACGGAGCAACAAGGCCGATTTTGTGGTCGGTTCCCGCAGGAGCAACTTGTCCGAGATCCGGTCACGAATCAAGCAGCGACGGAAATCGAAGCTGCAGAGCCGCCACCAGGCGGAGCAGCTGTCGCCACTGAACGGGCGGCGCGACGCGGCTTCGCCCCAACGGATCGTCTCGAAGCACAACACCGCCGACGCTCCAACGAAACGGTCCGGCATTGAGGCCGCGAAGACGAGAAACGCGACAGTAAGGAGCGCGGAGAACACACCGGTTGTGAACGCTGCCACKGACCGACGGGACGACTCTGCTTCCTGTTCGTCCAAAGATGGAGACGAATTCTTTGATACCATAACGTTCGACGAGGACAACATGGAAGGAATAATCGATGCGATGACACCGCCACGGGTCCAACGATACCTCGAGGAATCGAGCACGATGCAAAGTCCCAACACCATCGGCACCGCCATTTCCCTGGATTGAAAACTGCCGCAATAGCGATAGAAACACTTTGTTTCCTGCGTGGTACGTGGCTGGGCCGAGTCAAACGAACTATTATTACCGGAGTAAAATGATGTAATATACATAATATATATGTTTTTGGAACTAGCAATTTTAGGTATTAGTACCACAGTATATACTAACACAAACACAATATGATCTTGTCGCCCGAAGTATTGTACGTAGGTAAGTCGGTGCAGAGTCTGTTCTTCCATTGGAGGTAAGAATAGTATCACTGCCTTGCTCCATTTTGGAGGGTCGGGGTGGGGGTTTTGTAAGATGAGGGGGGGGGCCTGTTCAAAGTGCAGGGTTGGGCATCGGAGACCATGGGTCTCGACGCGGCTCTTCGCCACATTGCCTTTGCCGGAGCAGAAGGACAACGATCTTCTCGCGGTATCCAACCGTGCTTCAATTTGTCATCACAGGTAATGTTGATATCAAATTTGAATTAGTCAAATTTGGAGAGTACATAAATAGAGATTCTATAAAAGTACATGACAGAAGCCAGAGTTGAACAAGTTCACAAAATTTCGATGAGAGGTCCAGCTATGAGAAGAAATAATTGCATTCTAATCAAGCTTACGACAGAGGATGGGAAAACCGAAAGAAAAAGAATTTTTGGTTCGTAATCAGATGAATGGCTGCGATAGAAGGTGGCCATTGAAAAAAAAATCTCGACGAAACAATTGTACGGTATCGTACCGTATGGTTTGTGAGATGAGCGCGACGCGAAAAACAGTATATATATTGCCAGTACTACTGTAGGTATGTACATACGTAAAATTACTAAATGTAGTACGTATTCTACGTACTGTATGTATGTATGTATGTATGTATGTATGTACGTTAAGACCAAATTATCGATAGTATGTTTAGTACATATGATATAACATTCAACTGTGTACCGTACGCTGTACGTTAGCAACTATGAAACAGAAGGCAAAGGCATTGCGCATTGGCTTTCGTAAGTAACAACAATATCTATGCTATCGGTTGACTACATTTTTGACATTTTCTCTGTTTTTCTATTTGAAGCAAACGGATTTGGAAAATGTCAAACAAGACAGGGTCCTGCACTCTATGTCCTAATGTTGTCATATCGTGACCATAATTCCGATGTATTGCCTATATCGATACGACAATCTAGAATTCTTAAGACAATCATTGTCAGAAAGGGGAATTCAAAAAGTGAGTTGAATTGACGTATGGGAACTGTCAGATGCATTATGATATTTCTGAAAACAATACAAATAACAAACACCTTTTTATAAGGAAGGGGTCATGTCATGCAACCTAATGACCCCTTGTTGAATCGAATGTCCATTGACACAACGATTCCCTCGATACGAACCTCCTGAGAAAAGGTACAACGAGTGCGAGTACGAGTACTCGTCGAGCACTTGTACCGGAAAGGGCACGAGTACGTGTTTTGCTGAGTTTATGCTCTGTTGCCATCCATTATTTCAATGTGCTTGTTGATTTGATTTTGGTATTTCAATAGATTTAATGGCCATCAATCATTGTTTCAAACCGGACAAAAGAGATCTTGAGATCACCGCACTATTTCTGAAAGAATTGAAGAAAATCTGCGAAAAAGAACGTTGAAAATGGCCTCCGAAGATGATAAAGATAATATGACGTCCGCTAGATTGGAACTTAACCAGCTCCACCCCAAAGCGGTGATGTGGATCCCTCGAATCGTGGGTGTGATTACACTTGTTTGTGGCGCCTCTATGATTTCGATGGCGTGGAAACGGAGTGACCTGTTGTTTCATCGATTGGTGCTAGTCATGGCGATCCATCTAGCGATCCTGGGAATAACTCTTATCATTGGTGCCGCAGCCATTCCGGAAAGCTTAAGCAACAGTGACGAGCTGAGCGAATCGATTCTCGGATACCACGGAACGGAGGCCACTTGCACCGCCCAGGGCTTTGTCTTCTATGTTTGTTTCATGGCGTCCATGATGTACTATTGTAGTTTTTCCGCCTATAGCTACCTCGGAGTCCCCCGCAACTTTGTCAGTCAGGGCTTTGAAGTGGCCGGAAAATACATCCACGCCTTCGTCAACTTTTTTGCCCTGGTTACGGCGGTGGCGATCGTTCTCCTGGATGGATTCAACAACACAGGGCTCGGTTTTTGCGGCCCCGCCCGCAGCGACATCAGCACCTACAAGCTCTTTCTCATGGTGCCGCTGATGCTGGAAATTGTGTTTTCTTCGGTGGTCATGGTTCTGCTCTACGGGAAGGTGAAAAGAAACCAGGCGATGATCTTTATCAATGCCAGATCCGTGGCTCGCCAGGCTACCATCTACCTCGCGGTGCTGTACTGGGTGGTGGTGCCCGTACTTCTTTCGCAGTGCATCTCCTGGGCGACGAATGGTGGGCACGGCCGGAGCTTTATGACTTTTTCGGTGGTCAATTTCTCGTTGTTTGGCTTGTGGAGCATGCTATCTTACTGGTATTTTTCCGTGGAGAAGAGGCACCATAAAAAGCGTCGACGCGGAGACGACGACACCACCGACCCCACTAGTACTTTTTTCGCGACGGAAAGGACGCAGATGGACAGCATGCGCGGAAGATCGAGCAATTGCATCTTCTCCACCAAAGAATTCAATTCGTCACGGGCGAAAGGCGAGTCAGAGGCACCAAACTCTCAAACACGGACACAACGATTCTCCTTCAACATATTCGATGGAACTAATGCGAGCGGCATGTTTGCGAGCTTTGTCTTCTCTGGGGACGATGAGGACGAAGAAGCCGACAAACTAGAAAGCGACAAATGGAAGGATATACAGGACCACGTTTAATTGTACATTGCAGCACAGAACATAAATGCGCAAAACACAAGTTCACCGCACGAACAGAAGGTAACTTAAAAATCGCGAGCCAACAACCTAGGTACGAGATAGCAGAACTACACGTTTCCTTGCCGATAGAAGAGGAGTACGCAGGTATCAGTCCAGTACAAATGTGCAGCAAGACGCCACGGAAGCGGAAGAAAGGATCGTGATACAGAAAACGAGTGGTAGAATTCGCAGTGGGAAATTAGAAAGTAATATTCTACACAACTCTACAACCTCAATGGAAATTTAGAAACTAGCAACTCAAGCAAAGATATAGAAAATGAGGCGTTATATTATCTTTTACTGGGAAGAACTGCCTCGTCGAGCGAGAATATGAATCGAAATACTGTGTTACTCTGAAATTCTATGCGTGACCAAACTCCATCCACATCTCTCCTGTTGCGGGATCTCGTTTACGAAGCTGGCATTGGTATTGAAAACCATCCAAGATTCTGTCTACCGCTTTGGCACTGTTTGTGACAATTCTCCACTCGTTGCGCGACTCCCGGCTTACCTCTACAATGATTTCGAATGTAGGGTCACTTCTTCGTTTCGTCTGTGTCTTGGAGATTCCCACGGGGCGATAGTTGCCGCCTTGGTCGAGAGCCAACTTTTTTTTCCGTTTTGCCTCTTCCTTGGCCATTTCGTCACCAATAGTAATTCTTTCCTGACCCCCCACCAAACCATTGAGGTCCTTGTTTTTTAGCAACCCGCGGAGGTTTCCATGGGCGGATGCTATCAACCGAACGCCCCTCTGTTTTACCGTGCTCGCGGCCTGGACTTCCTTCGGTCGACCGATTTCGTCAATGACCATCACGTGCGGTGTGTGATTTTGTACGCACTCGATCATAACGGCGCTCTGCTTGTCGAGCGAAGGGACCATCATGCGTCGCGCCAGTCCGATGCATCTGTGTGGAGTCTTTCCGTCTCCGGCAATCTCGTTGGAGGTGTCTACCACGATGACGTTTTTGTCTTGGGCCAACATCCGGGTAGCCTCGCGCACGATCGTTGTCTTTCCCGATCCCGGCTCACCGAGAATGAGAACCGACATGTTGGTGTGGTTTAGTACGTCCATGAGCATCGCCGCGTTGCCGAGAACGTTACGACCAATCCGAATGGTCATACCAATGATCTGACCGTCTCGATCGCGCATGGCCGAAAAACGATGGAGCGAACCCATCTTTCGAGTGATTCCCACGTCTAATCCGGCACGGTTGTCGGACCCGAAGGTTCCCAACCTCGCCGTGATCTCTTCGATCTCCCCTTGGGTGACGACTTTGTCTTCGTCGTCGCAGAGATGAACACGCGAACCATCGATCCAGCAAAGGGCACGGCGCCCAATGTCGAGGACAATGTCATTCAAAAGTTCGATCGGGATCAAATCCTCCTTTGCTCGCTTCGAAGTTGGACTGCTCCTGGTGAAGATACCCAAGAGACTGTGGTTTTTCTTTTCTGAATCAACAAAAATTTTATTGTAGACGGATGGGAGAACATCGAAAATCTCGTCCACATCGCTTTCGATTTTCAGTTTTTCTCCAAAAAATCCGTCCTTGGGCCGGGTTGCCATCATCAATTCAGTGCTTGCGATTGCGAACGTGTTCTCCTTGTCGAAACAAATGGCTCTATAACCTTTGTTCTTTATCGCATTTTGGGCCCGGATACTGGAAGCATGGATCAACTTATCCAAATGGTTTGGTGCCAGAATTTCTTGGATTCGTTCCGCCGCATTCTGAAGAAAGGCGACATCCATTGCAGCGTACTCGAGAGAGGTTTGGGCAATGGGACGCTTATCCCAGAGATTGATTCCGCTGTTCATTCTTCCGTGGACAAAGTCCTTGCTTGGGTGTTTTGGAAGATCGAGTCGAGACAAAAACGCATTAAAGCCCTCGAAGGGCGATCCGCAGAATAACTCGGCCAAGAGCTGTGTATCGAGGGCACCAGAAAGTTTGATACCGCCAAACGCTTCGAGCGCAATTGCATCATTGCGTAGATCGTGAATCAGTTTGACTGGCGTTTCGTTTTCCAAGAGACTCTTGAGACCTTGGCACACCTGTTCTGCGCCGATTTGATGGCAATCGAAGATGTAAACCGAGCTACCCGTTGCAATCTGAAGAAGCTCCAGACTTTCGGGCACACCTTCGCAATCAACGGAAACAACACACTCGATATCCGCGAAGAGACGGTCCAGAGCACTTGCCAGCTTTGATGGCTCCTTGACATAGTAACAAATTGTCTTTTCTCCTACTATGAAAGTCTTTCCGAAAGCAGATCGGTCTTTCTTTGCGTGTATAAAACACGCGGAAGAATCTCCCTCGCCAATGATCTGAAGCGTGAAATAAGACTTTCCGTGTTCCTCAAATATCTGCTTCATGGTCATTCCTTTCATTCCACCGGGTCTCTCCACATCAGACAACTTCATCGTTCCGCCATTCTGGCACACAGAATGGTGCACTCTCTTCATATATTTTTTCATGATGCAATGCCTATTCCTCGGTTTCGTCAATATAAGTTTTATGCAAGTTATTTTGAATAGCCAAGGATTTTCCCGATCGAACCATCCATTCCCCTGAGACGGCTTTGGGTTTCCTCCACGGGGCGATCGAGTGACCGTGTCCACTACAGTCCAATCAGTCGAAACAGCAATCCCAAAAAATTATAAAGGTACATGAAAACCTGGATCTGCGAAAAGAAACACCGTGCACACGCTTCAAGTCGAATCAATCAAAAACCACGCGGTGCTCTTCTACCAAATGCCGATCTTCTTGCTCGGTGCCACGAACACATTCCCAAAGCCACCATAGTGGTTTGGCATGCTACACCGTAGCGTGCAAGTGCGCAGACCGGCAGTGTACAAGGGTGCGGACGGACCGGCAAGACAAACCTACGGTGGGGTGAACCCGTGACTGTTGCCGTCGGTGGCGGGAAGGACGCAACTCGACGGAAGGCATCCCCCCCGCGATACTCCGCGATGATCTATCTATTTGTCATGCGACACAGTGGCGTTGTCGGATTGCTGTTTTGTAGTGGATTGCATTGCATTGCTTTGTTGTATCTGCAGTGCCGACTTCTTGCTCTCGTTCGTCCGTTACATCCACAGTACTGATTTGCTACGACACTGCCTTTGCTTTGCCCAGAACAATCGTTGCATCCGGGACACTCGTCGACCGCAAATCAATGTGTGTTCCTCGAGGAAATTGGCACTTGGTTTGTTGCGGGTTTTGTTCTTTTCTGCGGCTACAGTTGTTCACCGCACGAGAATCGTGCAGGTCCGCATCGAAAATCAAATTTCCATGCCAAGCCGCATCTTTTGTCGCCATCGCACCGGCCATCTGCACCGCGGTGCAAAGTTGACGGTGTTTCTATGAAAACAATGTCAGACGATGCTAGACGATGCCGGAACGGTTCCTGAGATACCTGTTGGTGTTTTTTCGTTTTTCCGAAACAAGCATTGCGTCCTCTTTTTCGCGCTCGGCACATGTTTCTCCTCCTACCAACCTTCAATCAGAACCAGTCTTTGAACCAGTCTTTCATGTAAAATCATGCTATGCTCAGTATCTTTTAGAAGTCCGCCATGGTATTCAAATAGTCGATACCATCATGTGTTGTTGTAATGTTTGTTCTCGACCATTGCTTGCTGCTTTCAAATTTTGGATAGATTGATTTGATTTTTGGATAGATTGATTTTGTTCGATTATTTTTGAATTTTGCTCGGGTACCTCGTACGAGTACGCTACGTATGCACTGTATGTGTATGTACGGCATACCGATATGTAATATGTATAACGGTAGGTAAGTGTTCTCCTGTGCTAGTATTATGAGGTATGAACGGTATGTGAATATGATACTTATCCATAAATACAGGAACGTACAGTAAAAATACAACGTTGGTCACAAGAACATGTGTGACACGGACAACCCCGGTCTCCGAAGAATTCGGTTGGTGGAGTTTGGCGATTTGGTGACGTCCGCTTCTCGTCACTCTATTTTTAAATGCGACCAAGGTTGAAGTTTGAATCAATCAGAATTCTCGAACTATGGCAAGTTCTAAGAATGAATCACGACACGAATCTCCTTCTGTCGGTAGCTCCTTACTTATTGTTACCTTGAATTGGTTTTTTCCATCCCTTTGTGCTGTTCTGCGCGTGTGACGAATTCGATCGAGAACACGGAACTCGAACCCAACCCATGCCGGAAACACGGTCGGACGCAGCAGGCCTTACGGTGTTGTACTTGGTACAATTCCATACAATCACAAAACAAGTTTGACATCGACGCCAACAATCCGTCCGAACATCTACAGAACACTCGCAGGACAAACTTCTCCGTGACTCGCATGCCTTTAGAATCTTTACACAACACACACAACAACGCAACACAAAATCAAAATAACACCAGCATGTCTTCCTATTCTTCCACCGGCTCGTACATGGAATCAAGAGCGCGGAGCATGAGCACGGGCCACGATTCGGGCGCCAACCACCACAACAACTCGCCGTCCTCGGCACCCAAGCGAAGCGTCACCAACAACTCGGTCGTCGAGGCGATGATCACCTCCAACAATCTCCGAAACTGCGCGGAGGTCCAGGACATGATCCTGAGGTGCCGGAGCGAGCGCGAGAACAAGTCGTCCGTCCCCTTTGTGTGCAAGACCGCGCACCGATACTTTGCCGGGTCGTGCGTGAACAAGCCCCCGGTTTGATTCGATTCGATGGTTTCGATTCGATCGGAGTGCGTTGGAACCCAAGGGTCCGAAACAAACCATGCCACTACACGCAGGAAGCAATCGTTGCGCCATGCCAAGGCAAGGCAGACGATGCTTTGCAACGATGGGCCGAGCATGCGAGGCGATTTCGATGTTGTTTGGAAAAGAAACCACGAACCACTGCTGTGAAATACTGTAATCTATCGTGTGTAAAACTAGAAACGCTGTTTCCAACTATAAATTACAACATTACTATCACTCTCTACCGTTCTTTCCATTGAAACGGCTTGGTATTTCAACCTTTGAAGGTAGGTGATATCAATGGACACAGGATGGAGCTCTACGCAGCTCTAAGCAATATCTCAATCTCAAGACCCATCGTTCTTTTCAACTGTTGCAGGAAGAACAGAACGAGTACGTACCGTTACCGTTGCGAGCAGAGACGAGTCATGGATCGTTCTGTTCGTTCGTTCGGCACGAAAATGGGGGAGGATGATTTAAAAATTCAAGCGAAAGAATTCTGTTTTTTTCGAAAATACTACGGTAATAGTCACTGCATTCCTAGTAAAAACTGAACGTACTACGCGCATTGATTCTATGCTGTCATTTAAATTATGAAAAGAACGTTCTACGCTGGACCGTGCCGTGCCGTGTCGTACACTCCTATGGCACTTACGTACTTGTCCAGTAAAATAGTTTTGTTCGTACTTCGTACGGTAGGTAGAAAACAAAAGTCGATTCGGCGTGATTATGAAACGAGCCACAGAAGGGATGAATGCCACCAGAAACCCTCTACGCCTCTACCGTTCTGTTCAGGAAATGGTTGTACCATCAGTAACTAAGCAATTCATGCCATCCGAGTTTTCTATCAGTCCAACGAGGAGTTTGATGCATACCATTATAAGGTTCTGCCATTCCAATGAAGAAATCTATGCCATCCTAATAAAGAAAGTCTCACATTTAGTGCCAATAATTCATACTATCCGATTCTTCTTTCAGTCCACTGAAGGATTTGATTCACACCATTCGAAGCCTCCCGTGTTCAATTTAAGAATTCCCCATACTACTACTTCGTACTAATGATTCATGGCAGCCGAATTTTCTATCAGTCCACAGAAGAGCTTGAATCGTACAGTAGTATTCGAAGCCTCCATGGTTCTAGTAAAACAAAATCGTTCGAACGAGAAAATATTTGTACTACCAATACTCATTCAAACTATCGGAATATATATCAGCCTAGCGAAATGCTCAATGCATACCACTTGATGATCCTTCCGATCTTCTCAGAAAATCGCCCCACTACTATCATCCATTCCTTCTACCATCGAAGCGAATTTGGAGATATTTCGTGTCATCCGAATGTTCTAGCAGTCCACCGAGATATTGGATACATACGAGGCACCGCTCAAGGCGTCTGCCGTTCTAATGAAAAAATGAACGCACTACCGTACCGTACTACCAGAAGTTTCCACCCCGCGGGTGGGTAGTATTCCTACATTCCAATAGAAATTTCCGTGTCTCCGAAGAAAAATACTTCTGTCGGGGGTAATAATGATGCCATTCGTTACGGACAGGAGATACCGTACATCTGCTGGAAGCAACGATCTGTACCATACGTACGTACCCGTACCTTCCATCGTACCGTACATTTCAACGCAAGATCCAAACGTCCACTCCGATACGAGATGCTTTGGACGACGACTCACCGGATTCAATTCAATCAAACACAAGAGTGTGCCGCCTACCGATGTGCACGCAGCCGCGCGGCCAACGGATGGTTCCACCTATGCCTTCTGTGACTCCGTAGGGCCCTACTGCGTTTTCTACGGGCATCCCAACCGAAGGGTGCCGGGGAACCGCCGAGAATCTCGGTGGGCGGCACGGTTGAAAGCTTCGGGGTTTCGGTTGAACGCAGGAGGCGTCTCGCCAGAAGCCTTCCGCCAAATCCACCCCGGATCTTTGGTTGCGTATCCTGTTCGGTTCTATGAGTGAATTGCGAAGCACTTCTATGATGTATATACAGAACAACACGCACTACCGCGGTTCTTTGTCGTTCTATTTCGTTGCAAAGAATCACACGATCGGCAAAACCACGACGATACAGTTCGTATTGCCGTGTCGTAGTATTTCGTCGCATCGCGAGATCGAGTGTTGCACTCAATCCTAGCAAAGAATACTGTAATACCAACCCAGCACTTTTGTTGCATCGCAGGACATAGCGTTGCATTGCGTTGACGGTTTACAGTCGACGGTACCATTTCAAAGCAATCACTACTAAAGCAAGCACAACGATGGTCTCCACCGCCAAGGGATTGATTTCCGTCTTTTGGGTAGCCGCGGGGCTCCTATCGATCCTCGCCCCCCTCGCGTACCGCAGCCTGAAAGTCAGAGACTTTCGGGCCATGCAGGCGAGGTACAACTGGCAGGAACAGGCGCGCGAATACGAGGAAGAGCAGGAGCAAAACAACCAAGAAGCCGGCGAGAACAACAACTACTCCTACCAAAACCAATGGGAGCAGATGCGCGAGAGCGGCCTGTACGATTTGAACGACTGCAAGTGGTACCAGCTGAACTGCTACTCGTACTACTATTCGAACGGGGAGGACGGAGAACCCGAGCCAAGGGCGGGCTGGTACCCCAACTGGTACAGCGGGTGGTCCCTCACCGAGGAGGAGCGGGAGCAGCGCATGGAGGAGGGGAGGACCCCCGGATCCCTGGTCTTTGTCTACCTCTGGCAGATGCTGGTCTTTTCGGGCATCCTTGGCTACGGGGTCGTCGTCCTGAACCAGAAACGGCCCCTTTCGGGCCTGGTGGTCGCCCTCGGCGTCTTTGCCAACATGTCCTTCCTGAGCATGTGGTGGCTCGCCGACGGAAGCATCGCCACCGAGTCGGACTACGTCCAGAAGGTCGGGTTCTACGGGCAGTTCTCCGTCCTGATGTTCATGACCAACGCCTGGTACGTGTTGTTTGGGGTCGTCTTTTTGGCGGTGTTTGCCTGCGTCGCCCGCCGGGACACGCTCCGGGAGGAGAAAAAGGCCGCCGGGGAGCAGGAGGAAGGAGCCGAGGAAGCAAGCCGCTACCAAGCCCCCGCTGCCGTCGAAGAACCCGGTTGGACCACCATCAACTAACCAGCCCTTCCACCAACCAACCGAACGAACGAACGAACGAACGAACGAACTAACGTTCCGAAGCCTACGAAACGATACAAAATCGAACCGGACCTTCCATTAGTTGGGATTTGATTTGATTTGATTTGATTTGCGATTTGTTGCAATCCCTTGTGATAACCTGTCTCTGAAATAACTACTCTAATTACTGTACTCATTATTCCACGCCACTCCACTCCACTCCACTTCACCACTCCTATCCATACCGTTCGTTCCGATGGGCCATGGACAAGAGGCCCGATGCTGTCTTTGCCTTGCTCTCGGTGCTTGTTTCTGCGCACGCAACGCAACGCATTCGTGCCCTTGCCTCCCGGAGGAGACAGCCAGCCCGCCTTTCGTGTTGTCCCTACTAGTGGGCACTTGCATTTGCATTTGCATTTGCATTTGCATGTTTCCGTCCACCTTCTTGTGCGCAATGGGAGGCTGGAACGTCCTCGAATGGGCGGCTGGCAGCCGCCGCCGCGGCAGCAGCACCGGCTCGCGTTACGACTCGAATCGACTCCGGAAAGAACGGCGTTCCGAGCTTCTGCCCCGTTCGTCGATCTACTCACGCAAGAGTCCACGCAACAGTCCACGCAATCGTAGACGCAACAGTCAATGAAATCGTCGATGGTACAGTATCGTCCAATCGTCGATTTTTCTGTGGTCAGTAACAGCGGGTGCAGCAGGGGCACTCCACCCTGGGCGGTACCGCGAAAAAGGGATCCCCCCCCGCGAGGCAGTCGGCGCTGTAGTCAAACTCGTAGTCGTAGTCGTTCTCGTGATGCTGCTGTTGCTGTTGCTGTTGCTGTTGGTAGCTCTTTCCGGTGGCAAGAGTGCCCGGGCAGGGCATGGTTCCCGACAGGCGTGGGTTCCCGTGCAGCCAGAGGGAGGAGAGGAGGGGAATCCTTTGGGGTTCGTCGTTATCTTTGTCGTTGTCATTTTCGCTTTCGTAGCCGTTGCTGTTTCCCTCGAGGGGCCGCCACAGGGCCCATGTCGGGATGGTTCCCTCCAGGTCGTTCCCAAAGAGTCGCAGGTGGTCGAGGGAGGTGAGCCAGGCCCCCACCAGGCCCTCGGGGATCGTCCCGGTCAGGTCGTTGTTCCCGAGGGCCAGGCTCCTGAGGGAAGAGGGGGGCTTTGCGGCACTGCCACTGCCATTGCCACTGCCATTGCTAGTGTCATTGCTACTGCCGTTGCCAAGGCTTTGTTCCGGGGGGCCGCCCGGAAGGGTCCCGGTGAGTCGGTTGGACCCCAGGGCGAGGGTCTCTAGGTAAGGGAGGGAGAGTAGGTCTTCCAGGAGGTCCCCTGCGCTCCCGTGCAGGTTGCAGTCCGAGATGGAGACCTCCCTGAGGAGGCGGTTCCCCCTTGCCATGGATGCTCCCGGGACGGTCCCGGTGAGGCCGTGGTTCTTGTCCAGAACCAGGGCGGTGAGGCGGTGGTAGGCTTCCACCCCCCATGGGATGCTCCCGGTGAGGAGGTTGTCGGAGAGGTCCAGGACCGAGAGTGGGATAGCGAGGGCGGTGCCGGTGTTGGTTTCGCTGTCGCTGTCGCTGTTGCTGTCGCTGTCGCTGCTGCCGGTTCCGTTGTCGCCGAGGAGGCCGGAGAGGTCCCCGGTGAAAGCGTTGGAGCCGAGGTAGACCTCTTCCAGGACGGGCCCGAGGATTTCTGGGAGGGGCCCCCCGAGGCGGTTGCCGGAGAGGTCGAGGACCCTCAGCGGCGGCCCCCCCGAGAGGCTCCTCGGAAGGCCCCCCTCCAGGTCGTTCCCCGAGAGGTCGAGGACCGACAAGAAGGGGAGCACAAAGGGTTCCCGTTCTTGTTTTGGTTCTTGTTCTTGTGGTGGTTGTGGTTGCCTTGGAGAAAGGGTGTTTTTGCTGCTTCTGCCCGGCCACAGCACCCGAAACGGAAGGCCCCCTTTTAGGTCGTTCCCCGAGAGGTCCAGGACCTCCAGGTAGGGCAGCCAGGCCCAGAGCTCGTTCGGGAGCTTGCTTTCGAGGCCGCGGAGGGAGAGGTCCAGGCCCACCACGCCAAAGTGTGCGTCGCAGGACACCCCCTCCCAGAGGCACTCGTCGACGCCGGGGGCCGTCCAGGGAAGGGAGGGGGTTGTGGTTGTCTTTGTGTTTGTCTTTGTGTTGGTTTCCTCCCAGGAGTAGCCCCCGCCCGTGGAGTGGTAGAGGGCCAGGAGGGCCAGCCGCTGCAGCAGCAGGTGGCGGGGGGGAGGAACAAAGGACCCGGTGTCGCTGTCGGTGCTTTGGCAGCTGTAGCTGTAGCAGTAGTAGCCCACGTCTCCGCCCCCGCCGGGAATCCCCCCGTCCCGGTAGGCGACAAACTCGAGGGCCTCGAACTGCGGCGTCCCGGGGGTCGTCCAGGCGTAGGGATCGAGAAAGGGTTCGGGATCGGGGCTGCTTGTGCTTTTGCTTGTGCTTTTGCTTGTGCTTTTGCCTCCGCTGGTGCCCTCCCCCGCGAGGAGCCGGTTGGTGGCTGCCACCTCCTCCAGGATGGTATCGAGCAGGGCCTCGTAGTACTCGTCGAGGGATTCCAGGCCGGGCGGGAGAATCAGGGGAAGGTCGTCTCGGTCTGGTTCCTCGTCTTGCTTGCCGTCAATGTCGTTGTTGATGTCGATGTCCTTGCCCTTGTCGTTGTCCTTGTCGCTACGAATGTCGCTACGAATGTCGCTGTCCGGCAAGGGAGACGCCGGGATCGCTCGGTGGTTGGCACCCCGGGCCGCCCTTGCCCTCCAGGCCAGGAGGCAGGACGCCAGGACCACCGCCACCACGAGAATTCCCCCGACCCCCATCCACCCGTGGCGGAAGGTCCGCTCGAGCTCGAGCTCGAGCTCGCGGTCGTCTCGGTCCCGGTCTTGGCAACCGTCTTGGCAATCGTCTTGGCAGTCGCATTCGCATTCGCGGTCTGCGGCTTCGGCTTCGGCTTCGACGTCGACGGGGATTCCCTCCACGCACAGCTGGGAGGCGGACCGAAAGGCCCGGAGCACCGGTGCTTCTCCAAAGGGGCTTGGATCGCCGCAAAGGCCGTCGAGGACGATCTCGATGGGTTCCTGCCGTCGTGAAGGTGGTGGTAGTGGTGGTGGTCCTTCCCACGACGTTTCGCATGGTGCTTGCAACGGCGTTCTCGGACACGGGGCAGGACCAACTTCTGCTTCTTCTTCTTCTTCTGCTTCTTCTTCTGCTGCTGCCGCTGGCGTTGCCAATCGTGACGGCGAAAATGCGACTTGCTCCCCATCGCTGGAGGGGTTTCTTGGGTTCTGCTTCTTCTTGCGGTGGTGGGCGTGGTTGCGAATGCATCTGTTGCCGTTGCTGTTGCGGCGGTCCCTGCGACCGGGGTCTGTTTCGGTTCCCTCTCGCGCCATTCTCGACGGCATGGACTCGTTCTCGTTGCTGTTCTTGATCTTGATCTTGTTCTTGTTCTTTCAAAAGATACAGTAGCTAGTTGGGAATGTTAGTGTTATCCTTTTGCGTTGGTGTGCGGTTCTTGCCTGTCGTTTTGTGGAACGGGTTCTGCGGTGTGATCGTTCTTTTGTTGTTTTGTGGCTCGCCGGAACTGAACAGAACTGAACAGAACTGAACTGATCAGAACTGAACTGAACAGAACAGAACAGAACAAGGACCACCACCGCTTCGCTCATTCCCAGAACGCATGGCATCGCGCCGCAATCGCTTCGCTACGGTGGGCCTGCACAGCCTCCCCTCCGATCGAGTCCCACGCCGACCGGTGTGGTTTCGGCATGGTTTGGTTTGGTTTGGTTTGGTTTTGTCTTGTTGGCTTGTACCGTGCTGTGTTGTACCGTGCTGTGTTGTGGTGTGGTGTACTATTGTGCTGTACCGCAGTTTCTGGGTTTCGTGTCGTGTCGTGTCGAGAACTAAGTTTTGGGTTGGAACTTGCAACACTCACAGAAACTAGAGTACAGGAACAAATCCGGAACATCGAAAATCTCCGGATGGCTCCGCAAAAGACGGACCCGTCCGATTCCGTGGGAATCAATCCATCGAACATCCGCTGTGTATATATATGTACATACATAAAGTACATACTTAAAGTACATACATATACCCGGAGCCTTGCAGGACACACCTCGGTTCTCTTTCTCGTGGTCGTTTTTGCAGTTTTCACAGAAATCCAGCTCCTCGCATGCCAGAAAAAAACCATTTACAGTAGTACATTCGAACGCAACAAACCCATCTTCCACTCGGCTTTTGCACTCGTACAACAGAAGGGAAACACCAGTAGCACAACGTACTAAGTATCTTTTCGGATCGTCAAGGGAGGCGAGCAGTGATGTATGCTTGTAGTGTTGCTTCAATCATCGATTTGTTGTGGAATCGAACAAATCGAACAAAACAACTCTTCCCACTTGCTGTGTTTGTTGTGCTACCGCACTGTACTTCGTGCTACGGTAGCAGCAGCAGCAGCAGATGGATTGGTTTTCGTACGAACAAAATAGAAAAACTTTTCTTACACTGGTTATTTTATGGCAATGGATTCACGATGGAACAGAAGCCTCCATCGCTTCTCTTGCTTTTACATATAATAATAGTGGTGTTGCGTCCTCGTAGTTAGTGATGGTACGGCACAACACCTCTCGGGCGTTGGTGGCAATTGGAGTATGTAGTAGTGGTATTTGTATTCGTATTCGTAGTAGCTTGTGTCTTTTTTGCCTATTCCTGCCCGGCAGCGGCAACGACCTCGATGGCCTCCTCGCTGCCTCGTTCGACGCCCGGTCCTGCCGTCGCGGGAACAACGACTTCCGAGACGACGCCCCCCTGCAAAGGGGCGACCGCGGCGTCCTCCGGTGGTGCCCCTTCGCTTGCGCTTGAACTTGCCTTGGCTGTGGCTGCTGCTGCTGCTTCCCGTTCGTCGTCCGACAGGGCCTCCTCCACCAGCTGGTGAAAGACCTCCAGGTCGCTCATGGGGCTTTCTTCCTCCCCGAACAACTCCGGTGCACCTTCTTCCGCCGTTTCGAAGCTCTCAATGTCGAAGCTCGCCGCCTCCCTCGCCAGGTCGGAGGCGGCCTGCTCGAGCCTGTGGTAGAAGCTCGCGGCCTCCTCCAGCCAGTGCGAGGCGGTGGCCTCGAGGCCCGGGAAGGCCTCCTCCAGCCTCGCCAGCGGGTCGTCGATGGACCCGATCCTCTGCTGGACCGTCTCCACCGTCTCGGATACCACCTCCCTCGTGCCGGAAACCAACGACGTGCCGGCCGCCCTCAGGTCCGAGACCACCGCTTCCGCTTTTTCCAGCACCAAGGGTCCCCCCTCGATGTTTCCCAGGTGATCGGCAACCCGATCCCAGAAGCCCACCGTGGCCCCGCAGTGGAAGACAACCGTCGACACAAAGAGGAGGCGGACCAGCCCGTACAGGGTCCGCCAGACGGCCGCTTGGGCCCCTGGCGATCTGGCGGCTGCCGAGTCCTCCGCTTCCACAACTGCGCCAGCGGCGGTGAACCCCTCCTCCTCCGAGACGACCCTGTGGTCGTGCCGGACCGAGGCTTCCTCGGCGGATTCCTCGGCGGATCCCTCCTGGATGATGTCGAGCTGGGTGTGTGGAAACTGCTGCTGCTCGAACGAATCGAGGTCGAGTTCTTCCTCCAGCGAGCAAGGGTTGTCCAGGACCAAGAGGCCGTCCTCGTCGACGTCCTCGTCGACGTCGCTTCCCACCAGGGAATCCGACATGCCCGAGGAAGACGAGGACGCCACGAGCTCTTCCATCGATTTCGCCGACGACGACTGGCCGAGCAATTCCCGTCCCTTGCTGCGCTCGTCGCCGTCGCCGTCGTGGCTCTCGTCGCCTTCCCGCGATTTCGGGGTCGCAAACGAGTCCACGCTGTCGCCGTCGCTGGGTTGGTCCGGCCCTTGCTTCGAGGGGGGATCGTCCTTGTGGAAGATCGTGCTGCGCGAAAACCGACGGTTCTGCTGGATCTTCGAGGTATCGTACGAGGCCTCGACCGCCTTTTCCTTGGCCGGGTCCCTGGGTCTGGGGGACTTGGTCGGGGAGTGCGGCGCGCAGGTGTCCGGGTCCGGTGCACCCTCGGCCCCCCGGACCGGGGACTTGCTCCGGTTTATCCGCCTCGCGCGGAGCTTTCGGATGAGGTTGCGCTGGTGGCCGATGGGAGACCTCGGCGAAATGGGCCTGCTGGGGGTCGAGCTCGCGCTCTGGTCGTCCGCCGCCGCGAGAGGAGAAACCGGGCAGGGGGGGTCTTCTCGCTGCCGCTGGGGCGTTGTTCCGTTCCTGGTCGGGTTCTGTTCCATTGGCTCCTGGCGTTCTTTCGTGGCGTCGATGTCTCCCTCCTCTTTTCCAGGCTCGTAATACTTCTGGAAGGTGTCGAACACGTTGTGATACGCGGCGGATTGCGCCAGGTTGTGGAAATCCTTCGGCAGGTTGGTCATCATGTGGTTGCCGGCGCTGAAGATCTTCTTGGCGTTTGCCGCAAACGAAGCGTGGTTGTCGTTCGCACGGGCACTCGCATTCGAAATCGGGGTATTGCTAGCATTCGCTTGGGGAGGAGCCTGTTGTTGTTGTTGTTGCTGCTGCTGCTGCTGCTGCTGTTGTGGCACAGGCTGTGGCACAGCGGGAGATTTCAGTCCCGCAATCGACTCGTCTGCCACCTTTTCAAACTTGGAGCGTTTCTGTTTCGAAGAGGACTTGCCGTCGATGTGGTATCCGTGGGCCGCAATCGAACCGCAAGAGCGAAACAGGTTTTCCATCAGGGCCTGACACTTCGTTCCGACCTCATCGGCTAGGCCCCCACCGGACGACGACGAAGAGCCCTTGCTCTTCTTGGGATTCGGCGAAACAAAGTGCACGTTCGTAAGCTTCGGTCCATCGGGTCCACAAATCAAAAAGGGTTGTTGCTGACTGCTGCTATCGATGGTGCTTGTTTCCTCTTCTTTGTCTTCCGTTGCAGGCAGAAATGATCGTTCGCCATTGCCCTTCGTAACAGTGCTTGTCACCTTCTTGTCGGGAAGATGAGTATTTGTTTCCGCGGTTTCGTCCATGGGAAAGTGGCTCTGTTGTTTCTGTTCTTGTTGTTGCTGCTGTTGTTGCTGTTGTTGCTGCTGTTGCTGCTGCTGTTGCTGCTGCTGTTGCTGCTGTTGTTGCTGCTGCTGCTGCTGCTGGGCGTGGTATTGCTGAAAGGCCTGCAATTGTCGCGCAAGGACGGGATTGCGCGGCGTAAAACCAGACGACTGCTGTTGTGGGCTGTTCCCGTACGGGTAAACGTTCGGGAGCCCAAATTGTTGCTGCTGCAGGTGTTGTGCCGGATAGTGCTGGTGCTGTCGGTTGGTGAAGTAAGCACCACCGTTATTGTAAGGGTTGCTCAAATTCTGCTGTTGTAGGTGGGGATGGTTCAGCGAGGGCGGCGATATTCCGTCGAGTGCTCCGTGTTGTTCTTGATGGGGTGATACCATCCCTGGGGGAGAAGGCATACCGGGGGACGCTGTTACCGGAGACACATTCATGTTCTGGTAGATGTTACTCGCCCACCCTCCGTGGTTTGCGTGCTGGGTATTGTTCATATTGGGAGTGGTAGGAACATGATGACCCACTCTCGGGGCGGAAGGAGAAGCATCAGTTACCGGAGACAAGGCTCTTGATTGGGATTGCTTCTGATGTTGCCGATGGACATGGTAGCGACGATTATTTTGTTGGAGCTGTTGCTGTTGTGGAGCATTTTGCAACATCGTGGCTTGGTGTCCGGCGTATGAGTTCGGCATGACACTGCTTTGGGCGCTGACAGAGCCTGTGGTCGAATCTCCAACCGTGTGTCCCGATGGGTGGTGGTTTCGGCCTTCCTCTTGCATCAGCCTCTGCTGACCGGGAGAAATGTATTCGGCAATGTTAGCTGCGGGACCCGAAAGCGTAGAACAGTCTTCGTCGCCGCGGCTATTACTAGAATGATGATGGCTTGGTTGCCGACGGCCTTCCATCGACGCACTGGAGTTGTACCGCCTCTCCCGGCGTCTCGTCGTCGAAGTGTCGTCGTCTTTGATCGAAGGAAATGTGCTTCCAGTAGTGTTGGTTGCGCCGCCCATAGTCCGCCCGCTGTTGCTGTTGTTCAAGCTACCGCTATGGTTGTTCTCAGCAATGTTGTTCTTGCCAGAATTGCTTTTGCGCTCTGGTGCTGTTTTCTGCATTTTGGCCATCGCTGCTGCGGTATTAGGACTGACTGGAACATACCCCATGTAAGATAGCTTCGATCGCCGATTGTTTGACGGAGAGCGATGCTCTTCTCCTCGTTGTGGTGGGGACGTAGTAGATAGAGTCGTTCCCGCTGAAGTATCTGTATCGCCTAAGCTATCGTGATAAGACTCTGAAATGCACACAGATGTTGAGTGCTCGTCCGTGACCCCATTGTACGAGATCATGTCGTAGAGCGAATCGGCTTCTCCGTTACCCTTAATATCCAAGTCATCGCTGGCTTTCGAACGCAAATCTTCTTGGTCTTCATCTCGGTGCTCTTGATGTTTTTGTCGACGCAAAACATCCTCGTCTTGGTAAATATCTTCGTATTTGTTCTTGCTGCTCGTTCTGGTCGCAATCGTTTTAGAAGAGTGCTGGGAATGAAAGGAGAAACTACCAGTTGCTTGGTGGGAAGAACCGCCACGGTGGGAAGAACCACGGTGGGAAGAACCTCCGCCGCTTCCAAAATTCTTGTATTTGACCATGGTGCAATGTATAGATGGACTACTCTAATAGATCTATAGGGTGAATAAAAATATCCTTCTCCTTTGTTCGTCTTCGTTTATTTTGATCACTTTTTGACTTTTGTTGAACGTGGTATGTGTGTAGCTAATTTTGCTCGCCCTTCGATGACGGAAGAACCTATGTAGTACCAGTCGGATAGCTCCGTTCCTCCTTTTTCTGTATATTTGTGGCACTACAACGGTTAAACGTTTCATGTAGTATTGGACTATTCTTCTTGCATCAATTTGAACAGCACCTGACTATTGAAGTGCTTTGTAACTATTGAAGACTTGCGATTTTGGGCATAATTATTCTTATATTTCCATCCGTTATTCCGTTCGGTGATTAGACAAGGAACGTTCCAAGCATCGCCCAAATTCACCGTTCAGATCGCCCAACTTCTAAGTAACGAAACGGGTTTAACGTTAGTTCATAGCATCAAAAGAAAACTAAATAATTAAAAAAGGAAGGAGTGCGCGCGCAATTCTTTGCGCAGCCAAGTTTACGTCCTGATCCCTAGTCACGTTTCCTCAAGGCAGGCGAGTACCCAAAAAACAAACATTAGTCACGCATCGTCACTCGTGACAGCGCAATCAGCGATGGCACATACCCGAAAAATACCTGAAAATACCGATCTGCGAGTCACAACTTAGAGTAATTATAATCTGTGTCAGTTCATGCCGGAACGCATGCCACTCCGATTGACTCCAGCGGATTGGACTATCGACCACATCTTATCAGTGTCACGGAGGCATGTCTGTCTCGGTCACTATCGACTTTGAGCTACGCCGAAGTTTTTCGTTTTGACATCCATCATAAAACGATAACACAAACAAACAACATTACGCTCCGAGTTCTTCCTCGTTTGCACGAGGGAACAACTGCACAGGTAGACAAGAACACCGAATGAACACGACAATGTCATTGAAGAAAGATGGTGATGATGTTGATAAAAGAGATAAAAGTGAACCCTATCCAACGAATGCAATAGTGTTATTCAACAAGGACAAAACATTCAACAAACACAATAATGAAAATACCATCGAAGATACACGCAAAAAAATTGCCGTTGACACTGACAACAACATCGACATCGACAAAAAAAATCACAATTACAATCACAATAGCATCAATATGAGCAGAAACAGAAAAAGAATTGACGACAAAAATATCAGGAACCATAAGAACATTCCTTACGAAAGCGAGTGCGAGCACAACCATACTAAAGAGCAAGGAATAAGCCGTTGGGGGGAGTTTTTTGATACTGACAGAGCTAGTGAAGCAGTGCAGTATTATTCAACGACCGCAACAGCCATGATTTTAACCACGACCACAACCACGGTAACATCCACGAAGGTTTTGAAGGTGGTCAGAGCAAAAGAACCAGAGCAACAGCAATATCTATCGATTCATCAATTTCTGTTCAACAGCAAGATCTTCAGCTTCGCTTCAAGCCGCCCTTCTATTTTTGAGAAACACAACCTTGGAACAAGTTGTTCTGAATATACAAGTGTGACAATGGCAATCAGTCAATCCTCATCGTTTTCGCTCTTTATTGATGGTGACGACGGTCAGAAAATTAGTACCCTGAGCTGTAGCAACAAAAATTTACTCGCGGTCGATAGAAAGGGTGACAAATGCATTATTTTTGCAAAAGAAGACCGATCCATGCCATTGCCAAGAATTTTGAAGAGCAGCGGATCTCTCGAGAGCAACAACTGCGCGACAATGGTGCCCACAAGCAACAGCACCGTGAGTACCTGCCCATCCGTGATTTACAACTGGAAAAACAAGTTTGATTGCGATAGTGGTTCTTTCGACGATAGAGTTGATGCTTGCGACAATCAAGTGGACACACAAAAAAAGAGCGACAATATTTGCAGTAGTGAAGAACATCAAATAGAGGTAATAGAACTGTCACAGGAAGAATCAAGAAAGGATTTCTCTAGTTGTACAAACGAAAGTGACGGCAACTTCCCAGAAGGAGATCAAGAAATAATCCCCCCTTCGTCGTGGTCGTGTTCGGCAGCTATGATGTTCGCCAACAACAATGACTACGAAGACAATACAAAAAGCAGAGAAAAATCTGATGTTGAGGAAAAGAAATTTGTTCCATCTGAAGTCTTCGACGATGATGAATCTGGTATGTCGTGGTTTATCAACACATTTCCGAACTATAACGAAAGCAACAGTGCCATAATTCTGCATTCTGAGACCGCCATCAAACACCCTAAAACAACTGTTGCTCTCACCATTGAAGGGGGACTTGATCCTTCTTCTTCCTTGTTGCCGTCATCGTCCGTAGATCTGTCATCAAAAAAAGGAAGAAACTGCAACGTATACGGTGGTCTAGAGTCGCTAGCGTCCGAGCTTTCGAACCTTATGTTTTCTATCGAGGAAGAACAAGAAGTTGTTTTTTCCAACGAAGACGAAAAAGATGACAAAGTAAAAGGAGAAGTGAAAATGCAATCACGTGCACTAGAACAAGAATATTGTAGAGAAGAAAGTATCCAGCAATTATTTGAAACGTTAGAAGAAAAAGAGGCTGAGGTGGATGAGGCCCTGGAATCTATAATAATGGAAACTCTTGAAATCGAGGGGCAAGACAACAGAGTTATCGACAACGAGAAATATGATAGTCAACAGGAAAATGATCTAGTTGAGATTGCTTCTGCAATACAGAAATATAGCCAAGAAGATGGCATGGATGATGACATGGACAACAAAAACGAACTGCTTTCGAAAGTTACAGAATCTTTTATCGCCTTGCCTCAAATGTTGTGCATAACGCCACGGGAGCAGCAACATATCATTCACAATGATGATGTTCTGAATGGTGTTAACACCAATAAAGAAGATGAAGAAACTGTGGATCATCAAACTAATGCTGTCGATGAGAAAGATCCGCATAGAAAATTTTTCGCTGATGAGTTTCCGAGAGCAAACATAGAGGTTCTTGCTGGTTCTAGTCATTCTAACAGTTACAGCAACGAATTGCTTGGCAAGATGGCAAATACCTTCAGGTCGCTGCCCCAAATGATGGGATTGACACAACGTGCACAGTCACAAGGTGTCGATGACATAAGCATTACCTGCAGCAATGGAATCAACAAAAGCAAAAAATGCTCCAGTGAAATATCCAGTGATGTTGGAAACAGAATAACGACAATAATCGAACCAGATTGCGTATCATCGTCAACATCGAATCACCCAAACATCGAAGTGAAGCTTCAGACAGACATCAACGGTAGTGACGGTCGAGACAACATTGTCGTTGTCGATGAAGTTGCCAGAATGCTTCGGAAAAACAAGAAAAAGAAGAAGGAGAAAAATCTGAAGTCCAAGCACTGCTGCTCGGACGCAATGGACGTGTTGGTGTCATTGACTCTTATGGAAATGGAAAAGTCATCTAACGAAAATTTTGTGAACGAGATGCGGGCTATGAGAGTACATGAATCTCCCTCATCAGACAACTTTTTCAATTCTGCCAGTGGCAGCATAGATATCTCTCGCGGTGATCCATCGGACAGTCATCTGGTACGCGATTCCAACGTGGACCTTACAGCCACTACGAACGATTTACAAGAACTTAAGGAACACAGCGAAATTTATGATGAACCGAACACTATCAGTCCGCCATTGGATTCTGATAGTTTTTCAATCGATTGTTTCCCCGAGAATTTTTCTATGGACGAAGATGTTTCGCAGACTACGACCCCATCCGATACAAATAAGACGAATCCAGAAGGGGGAAAGCCTATTGTAATTGTAGTTCCTCTCCAACGGGAAGGAAATAGTGACAAGGCTTGCAATGAAATCTCGTCGGCAGTGTCCGGATCCTTTGAATTCCTCAAGTCGTTGTCGTCCGAGGAACGCATCCCGAGTCCACCCCAATTCAAACTCCCATTCAACAATCCCAACGCGTCTTCTGCCGACACCAAACTGGACGAAATCCACTCGACAGACGACCTCGGTACTAGCTTTGCTTTGCCATTGAGTTATGCCTTGAACACAATCGACATGCCGTCGCAGAAGAATCTCCCTTCCAGGAATCAATTTACATCATTGTTCACTCGGGATCTCTCTGTATCTCCTCAGAAATTAGTCCATACAACCTTATCTCTGTCGTTGTCGTTATCATTATCGGACGACTGCTGTCCCATCCCCCCGAGTCCAAAGCATTCAACTAAAGCATCAAAGGAGCCCTCGTTTGATGATGCACTTCCTTCAAATATGGACTCTCATAAAAGCGAAGGCGAAACAGAAGGATCGATAGTGGTATCGATTTCCGAGTCGCTACAGGCCGAATCAATGAAAAACCCTAGCTCGTTGAGTCCGAAGAAAATGATAGCCACCACCACCAAGGCACCGAAAGGTCTCCTTAAAACTATCAATACGGAAGGTCTTGACAAAGAAAGAAGACAAAAGGTTTTCCCACATCTGGCCATGAACAAAATCCTGTTTAATGCGACCAAAAAGAAAAATAAGGGACTCGGGAACAACACAAAAAAACATATTGACATTGGTGATATTGCAGAAGACAGCTTGCGTATCAGAAGATCGTGCTACCCGCTTTTCTCTCCGTCTCAAGCTCTGACAAGAGATGACCTTTCAGCATCCACCGGTAAGATTCTGGGTAACGATACAGAGGAGCAACAGAACCATGTTTACCCCTGCACAAAGGATCAAAACCGTGAGGTGCCAATGGGCGTTTCACCGAAGAGCATTTTGAAAGCGTCATCACAAGGAGACGGCACTTCTTTTTCTGCTCTCGAGGAATCCACGGGGATAACCCCAGAGTCACAGAGTAGCAAACGCAGAGTACACTGGAACGAAACCCAGCTTGCCGACAAGATCGAAAAAGGTGTGATGTTTCAGAACCATCGGAACGGCAGGCCCAAGAGGCCGGCATATGCCCTACAGCAGTTAATGTGCGAAATTGCGGATATCCAGGACGGATATGGCAGTGATATGGAGCAATTGTGGGGATACCAACAAAAGCCACAAGGATACATCTGCTGATTCCTGTCACCAAACTGGGTTTGTTTGCTCATTCTCGTATCGGTTGTGGCATCCATCTAGCAATTTTAATTCATCCATCTATTCAAACGATACATACAGACTAGACACTATAAACAATAGACATCCATCAGCATCACATTGAAGTTTTATACATATTACTACACTCGTTTGAAGTACTTTTTGGATAATGCAACACATGGCATTATTGTGATGATTTACGTAGACCCATTTCGATTTCGTTTTCCCCCGAGTTCGGAATTCATTGTTCACAGGTTATGCACCAGCTCTTTCGCTTTCGTTTTGGACACGATGTGCCCTCGAACAGTTCGTGCCCGATCGCCTTTTTCTTGTACATCGGTGGTTGTTGGAAGGATGGATGGTTCTGTGGTTTGTTCCACTCGCACAGATTCTGATCGAATGCTTCTGCTCCGTTGAACATGCGATCAACGTGTTTTGCGGCGTCGATGTTCCAGCCTGCCAGTGGTTGGTTGAAGACCAACGCGTACTCGAACATGGATCGGAAATCGTGGACCTTCCCCATGTCCCACGCACCGAGTGGCTTATTGAAGGACGTGGCAGCCGCAAACATAAAGGCCGTTGTGGTGACCTCCGACACGTTCCAGTCTTCCAGCGACTCGTTGAAGGCTGCTGCGTCGAAGAACATTCCCCCCATGTCCGTGACCGACGAGACATCCCAGCCCACGATCCCGTGGCCCGTGAACAATCGGGCCCCCGAGAAGGTTTCCCTCATCGAGGTTACCTTCGAGACATCCCACGTCTCCAGCCCCGATCCCTCAAACCGAACCGCGTTTCGGAACATCCGGTCCATGGTGGTGGCCGAAGAAACATCCCAGCACGAGAGAGAGTCGTTCGGTTCGAACCACGACCGGATGTTTTCAAAGGCACCACTAAAATCGGTAACCTCCGAGACGTCCCAGCAGCCGAGGATGGCTCCGTGGGGGGACGATTCGGGATTCGCTCCCCAATCGAGGATTGCGCTCCGGAGGGCCCCCCTTGTGGAAGGAACACGCTCGGAGTGCTCGGAGCGCTGTTCCGCGCAGAGTTTGTGACAGTCGTGGTTTCGCTGGGTTTTATCGCCTTGGTTACTATTGATCTGGATAGCGGGAACATTGGTGTCTGCGTTTGCCAAAGCGGCAATGGTTAGGACAACGAGGGAGAGATCGGTTTCTTTGGCTTCGCTTGGTGTTTGCGCTTTCGTTGGTTCCTTGTTGCAGTCAGAAGAATGCGCAGTCTTCTCGTCGTTTTCATCGCTATTCCCGTCGCTGTTTTCTGTGGGATTCCTATCGGCATCGATATCGGCGTTCTCGTTGGTCTTGTCATCCTCCCTGGCATCGTCATCATCGTTCTCGACTACAATACCATCATCGTCATTGTCTATAGTATCATCGTAATTATCATCGTTATCGCTATCGTCATTGACATTATTGTCATCATCGGCATTGAGATTGGAATCAGATTCGTTGCCGTTGGTGTTCTCCTGGGATTCGATGCTACTACTGCTCGTCTTCTCGGATTCCTCCTCGGCCTTGCGCAGGAGCTCGTCGAGAGTCTTTCGGAACCTCCGTGCATACAGTTTCGGCATTCCCAGGTCCCCTTCTAGATCGCTCGCTTCGAGGGACACAAGCCTGGCCCCATCGACGCCTTGCTCTTCGAAGGCTCTCCGGATCTTGGCCCCTCGGCTCCCGCTTCCAAACACGGAGGTGATAAAGCCAGCGGCTTCTTCCACCGTAAAGGTTTTCGGATGGCGAAAGGGTTCTTGTCCACGATTTAGGTTTCTATCCACCCTTTCTGCGGCTGCACTTGTTGTTGCTCCCAGGAGAAGCACCACCGCCCCAATGGTAGCAAGAAACATTCGTTTCCTGGTGGTCAGGTAGGCATTGTTGTTGCGAATCATTGTTTGCGTGTTTGTCGCTTCTTGTCTATTGTTGATCATTTTATCCAAAAGGATTTGGATTTTATGAGGAGGAAGAGGCTCCTTTGTACAGGAATGGAGCATCTATGATTCGTCTTTCATCGCGCCTTGTTCCGTTCCGTCCTGTTTTGGTTTGTGTCGTTTTATTGCATATGTGTTGTTCCATCGTGCAGTTTTCCTTTTTCTTCTCATCTCCTGAGCAGTATTCGGAGTTGGTATTAGCTTTGACTTGGGGAATCGCGTCACGTAGAAGTACGTACCGTGCATTAGGTACTCGCACGTAAGATTCTCAGTCTATCGTAAGGTAAAGTACCGTACGTACTGTACGATACATTCATTCGTGCACACAAACATTTGTCGACGACCTGCTTTGATGAAGGGAATCAAGTGAGATCTTTCAGTCGTGGCCCAAAAACGAATGAATTGATAGTTCCCTTACAGTACACAAGTACTGTACGATGGGAAGTGTAAATCATGGAAGTCGAAAAGAAAAAAAATACTAGAATAGTTTTTTTCGACTGTAATAGTCGATGGAAAAGGGAAGTCTGGAGAGCGCCCGATTCCAGGTCTGATCAGTCCCGTTTGACTAAACTCAACACTTATGCGCAATGTGAATGCGCGCGCCACCTCATTTTTCCAATCTAATAGACATAATCTACTTAAGGGGCATAGCCTCTTTTTATTTGTGCAATCGCCGCACAATAATAAAAATAATGTAACCTCRHCGACAATAAAATTTTATTATGCTGTTAATAAAATTTTATTATGCTCATAATAAAATTTTATTATTGTTTTATTAAGCTGTTAATAAAATTTTATTATTGTT